TCTCTGGGGCAGGGTGTGCTGTCTCTGGGGTGGGGTGTGCTGTTTCTGTGCTGTCTCTGGGGCAGGGTGTGCTGTCTTCTGGTGCAGGGTGTGCTATCTCTGAGTTGACTCTGGGGCAGGGTGTGCTGTCTCTGGGACAGGGTGTGCTGTCTCTGGGGTGGGGTGTACTGTTTCTGTGTTGTCTCTGGGGCAGGGTGTGCTGTCGCTGGTGCAGGGTATGCTCTCTGGGTTGGGGTGTGCTGTCTCTCTCGGGCGGGATGAGGCTTGCCGGTGGTCAGGTCTCACAGGTGCATCTTCCTGTTTGCAGTGCAACCACCTGCGCTTCATTGAGCTGGTGGACCTGGAGCAGAAGTGGCGGACTCTGTGCTTGCCGATGGAGAAGCTGCATGCCCTGCTGGTGCTGGACCCATGTGAGGACAAGGTGGAGTGGCTCAAGTTCCTGGCGCTGGGCTGCAGCATGCTTGGAGGGGTAGGTGCCGGCCGGCTCGGGGGCAGGCGCTCAGCTACGTCCATGGCCCGGGTGCTTTCTGGGGTGCGGTGGCTCATACTCTGTCCACCCTGCACAGTGCCCATGGTCAGCCCTGCATGCAGTCTCTGCCCTGGAGCGCAGATCAGGGCACGTGCTCCCTCGTGACTATGGGCTCCCTCGCCCCGTCTCCTCTCACTTCACAGCACACTCGGGGTTTCCTCACCCCCATCTCCTCTCACTCACAGGTCTCTCTCGAGGCTCGGTCACTCCGTCTCCTCTCCCTCACAGCACTCTCCTGGGGCTCCATCACCCGTCTCCTCTCCCTCACAGCTCTCTCGGGGCTCCGTCACCCCGTCTCCTCTCCCTCACAGCTCTCTCTTGGGGCTCCGTCACCCGTCTCTTCTCCCTCACGGCTCTCTCTTGGGGCTCCGTGACCCCATCTCCTCTCCTTCACGGCTCTCTCTTGGGGCTCCGTCACCCGTCTCCTCTCCCTCACGGCTCTCTCTTGGGGCTCCGTCACCCGTCTCTTCTCTCTCACGGCTCTCTCTCGGGGCTCGATCACCCCATCTCCTCTCACTTTGAGGTACATGCATGGGGGGCTGTGTCACCCCTTCTCCTCTCCCTCACAGCACTCTCCTGGGGCTCCGTCACCCCATCTCCTCTCACTTTGAGGTACATGCATGGGGGGCTGCGTCACCCCGTCTCCTCTCCCTCACAGCTCTCTTGGGGCTCCATCACCCCATCTCCTCTCCCTCACATCTCTCTCTTGGGGCTCCGTCACCCGTCTCTTCTCTCTCACGGCTCTCTCTTGGGGCTCTGCCACCCCGTCTCCTCTCCCTCACAGCACTCTCTTGGGGCTCCGTCCCGCTGTCTTCTCGCACTTTGAGCACACTGGGGCTCCCTCGCCCCATTACCTCTTTGAGGCACTCTCGTGGGGTCTCACTTTGAGCACAGTCATAGGGCTCCCTCCTGTGCTCTGTGGCCGGCCCGTCTGTGGAGTGGTCCTGGACCTCCGGCCTCTTTACTGTAACTGGACCCCGCTGGTCCATCCTGACCCGAGTGCTCCCACCGTGTCCAAGGCCACGGGCTTCCACGGGACACTGGTGCCCCCCTCCCGGGAACGCGGATGGTGCAGGCACTTTAGTCGCCACAGCCGCGTGGCTAATGGGTCGCAGAGGAAGCTCGTTGCCCACCTCTGCCGGGCCTGGTGATTTCTTTGTTTTTTATTCGTTTGCACCGTTTCCTCCTCTTCTTTGGAGGCACGGGTCAGTCTTGGGCTTCTGCTCAGTTGGGATCCACGTCAGGTCTGCAGTGTGGTCTCACAGGGGCACAAGGGGTGAGGGGGTGGGAGAGCTGCTCCTTTTTTAAAAAAAAACGTTGTTATTTGAAAGAGGAGGGTCAGCAAAAGAGAGGAAGACCCTCGAGGAGCGAATTGACGTGGGGACGCCCAGGACAGCGCAGGACGCGGATCAGGCGTGTTGTCAACAGCGTCACTGTGTGTCCTACACAACTCAGTGGCAATGGTTTCAACGACAGCTGTTAAATACTTCTGCGAGGAACAGGGTTCCGCTTCTTGGAGGCAACACGGGTGAAGCCTGGTCTTAACACATCAGGCACGTTGTCTACAGGAGAGACCAGTCCTTGGAAAAAACCTCATTCCAGGAAAAGAGGAGGGTCAGTGAGCAAGAAGACACCTCTGCATCAGATGGACTGACAGGGTGACTGTGACCGTGGACTCTCACGTCAGGACGATGACAGGGTGACTGTGACCGTGGACTCTCACGTCAGGACG